CAACATAAAACACGAGCATGGTTGTCGGGAATTTTTGGATATATGTAATTTGTTCAATAAAATTACCGAAAATTACCAACATAAAACACGAGCATGGTTGTCGGGAATTTTTGGATATATGTAATTTGTTCAATAAAATTACCGAAAATTACCAACATAAAACACGAGCATGGTTGTCGGGAATTTTTGGATATATGTAATTTGTTCAATAAAATTACCGAAAATTACCGAACTTACCGATAGGAGTTCATTCTATAGGATGTTTTTGTGATTTTGGTTTGACTAAAAATTTTACTAATATGGTCGGCCCGCCCGGTCGACCGGGTCGAGTAATTTGTCTGCCGGGTCGGCCCGAGCGTTTGGCATCGGCCCGTATCACTAGATATGTATCATTATTAAATTCGAATCAATATAATATGTATATAAAAATATATTTAGGGGCACCAGTGGCGCCCCGTTTACTCTTGGAAAATGTAAGGTAAAGTAGATACCTCGCATTAATGCGCAGGTTTCGCATGCCGCGCAGTTTTCCAAAAATTCTCGATTTGCCTATTCCTACGAATGATACCTTATTGCTGTAATACATTTCCATAGTGTAGGTAGCGAATAAAAGGAATATCAAACTCAAAAGAATAAATTCTAAAGCAAGGAACATTAATAACAACCAACAATACCAATAGTTAATAGTGAACCATATATCAAACTTTTACAAAGCAAAGACCAATAAGGGCATGGACAGAAATCAGGCGATTTCAATTTACTAAGAGGCCACACCCCCTCCTCCCTACCTGATAAAAAATTGACTGATCAAATTTATTTAACCTGATAAGCCCTCCCCCTCAAAAATCAGCTGATTTCTGCCCGCTCCCTAAAAGTATTCATATCTAGAAAAAAAACTATACTTGATTTTTCTTAAAGATTGAATTTATTTAATATTTTACTTGTATTATCTACCTAAAAAAGTTTAATGTTATTGTTTTTTTTTGTGTAAATATGGATAGAAATACAGTCAACTCTTATTATAATGAACTGACATTTCTTATAGTACTGTAGTAAAAATTACTTTTTTACATCAAATTCTATAAAAATTGCTTTAAAAAGGTTATAAGTAAGTTCACTAATAAAAATTCATTAATAAGAAAGTTCGTTAATAAGAAAGTTCGCTGTAAAAAAAGTTCGTTTTAAAGAAGTTAATTTAAAAAAGTTCGTTGTAAAAAATTCGTTGTAAAAAATTCGTTGTAAAAAGTTCGCTATAGAAAATTCGTGAAACGAGGATTTTTCGATTTACAATGTTGCAACACAAATAAGATTTCAATACCATGGAACATATTACTTTTCTTTTGTGAAACCTCAATGCATTACATTACATTACATTATATATTGTAATTTCTCTTTATTCATTTTTGTTTCGCACTTTCATTGAGAGGTTTCATAATTAAAATGCGGAATCTAATTTGATTGAATCAGATGATTCATCAGTTTTATTTCGTTCCGATAAATTATTATTTCCATGAAATGCGCAGTCAAATGTAGGACCCATTAATTATAATTCCGGTCAAAATTGTCGATCATTTGGCCAAATTTTTAATTATTTAACTCCAGGTCTGGTCAAGTGATCGACAATTTTGATCGAAATTATAATTGATTGGCTACTATATTAGACTGTGGAAAAAAATCCTTGATTTCCCATCTCTAATTTTAACTATAAATAGCTAGCAAATTTCAAAATTTCATTTAGCTATTTTAACTTAATGCTACTGGATAGCATGATGTATTTTACTTTATATATTTTCGGTTTTCTTTTAATATTATTTTTACTTTTGCTTTTATTCCAACAGGACGGCTTCAACACTCCTCAGTCCTTATCGATAAAAAACTTTATTTTATTGGGGGAAGCAAATCAACCAGTCCAAATGGCGTAACGAACAATACGAATGAATTCTTTTATTTAGATGTTTCTAAGTCATTTACAACAATAGACACTACCTTATTGCCTTGGGTTGATCTTACTGATACTGGAGGTATACATGTTGGCAAAATCCCGACTTACTATAGTTTGGGATTTGTCCGCCATCCCAAATCCCAAATCCCAAATTCTAGCAACACAAATATCTCAAAAACTTTATTAATAATCTTTATTTAAACAAATTGTATATATTCTTATAGTTATAAATAATATATTTGCAAAATATTAAGATTATTTATTTGATTTGATTTTTTATAGATAGCAATTGTTTTTTTATTATTTGGAATTTGTCCGGGTTTTGCCAGCAAGTATAACTGGAGGTCCTCAAAAATCTAGAGCTACAGCGTGTCCTGGTGGAAAAAATAATGATATTATATTTTTTATTGGTGGTTCATATTATGATAATAACTTTACTAAAAAATTTGAGACAAGTATACAACAGTGGAGTAATGTCCCACCTTCTCCTCCTGCTGTACCTAATAGGCTTGATATTTCATGTGCTAATTTTAATAATGAAATGATTGCCATTTTTAGCGGCTTCATTGATTTTAAAAATCCCACTAATAACACTAATAATATAAATGATTTTTGGATATTCAACACAATAACACAAGCATGGACTTTAATCAATGCAACAAATGCACCTCCGTTTCTGTTAGCTTATTGTGCAGTAACTTTGCATGACAACAATATTTTATATATTGGTGGAGCTAGCCCATCGCTAAATTATAGGCAAATGAATAATGTAAGTGTTGTCATTTAATAAAATTTGATCTTTAATACTTACTTATTAATGCTTTTATAGCTTTCATTATATAATACAAAATCTAATACATGGGAGATGAGAGTACGTATTATATTAAATGAGTATAATTTTCATTATATCTTAGTAACTAGTTATCTAAATTGGCATATTATCAGAGCACATCTGGCAAAACTCCTCCTGGTCGTAGATATTTTTCAGCAGTATTAAGTATGTCATTTTACAATGTAAATAAAACAAAGCTTTTTTTTATTAATCATCTAAATCGTTAGCTCCTGACGAACGTATTATAATTTTCGGTGGTATGAATCAAACTTACCCTTCTAACACCTTATATAAAACTTTTGATGATCTGTGGATATTAGATACTGCAATATATCGATGGTCAATCGGTAACATTTCAAATTCAAATGAGACTCCAACCCTTTTTGGGCATACAGCAACATTAATTGATAATTATATGTTTGTTGCTTTTGGTAAAACCTTTAGCTATTTTATGGCATCTTAAATGTAAAATTTTGGTTAAACTTATTAACAATTATTCGTTTAACAGGTACTTTTTCAGATGGCAGTAGTGACAGTCTGTCATCAACAATATTCATACTAGATATAAGCCATAAAGATTCATATAGTTGGGTTACAAGTTATTCACCACCAAGTAATCAAAATCCTGGCTCAATTATTACAATTATTGCAATTATTGGTGTCATAATTGGCAGTATACTTCTTTTAACAATGTTTGCTATTTCCACTCTTTTAGTTTTAAGGTTTGTAATAATTATATTTTAATCCATTTAGAATTAGCAAAAATGATGGTGATTTTGATATAGTGATAATAATAGATATTTAAATTTATTCCAGATATAAAATCTCAAATAAACCAGGCTGGGCTGTATAATATCAAACTATAGATCAATAAAATTTGGATTAATTATTTATATTCGAATGAATATAATAAAGATAATTTAAATAATAAAGACACTTGAAATATCCTAACATAAAAGAAACTCATTCACAAAAAAATAAAGATTACTAAGTTGTTTTTTTGTTGTGGTCATCCAGTCATGTGTTAAGCATATTTTCGCATATATAAAAGTGATTGAAAAGATTTTTATTAGAAACGCCTATAACCTACACTAATGAAGCATCTAATAAAAAATCCTTTTCTTATTTATTCGATCAAAAGATTCCTATTTAAACGAAATAGGGTTTCATTTTATTTGATTCATAAAATAAGTAAACATGCATTGGTTTTCATTTCAAATATTTCAAAATCAAGGCTAGTTAATATCATCAAGTAATAAAAAATCTACAGATTCAGTTTTATAACAATTATAAATTTCAAAAAATTTATCAGATCTTTGTAAATCGTATTTCTTCTTAATTTTGCCATTATTGTATTTGAGAATTAACATTAACACTGCTAAACAAAGTGTATCAGTATTTATATATGTCGATTATGATTAAAATTTTCGTGTAAATTTTCAAGATCTTATACAAGCTTATATAAGCAAAAAGATCTTATACAAGTTTGTATAAGCAAAGTATTGATAGAAAAGATTAAGTTATTCTTTAATTTCTTTATAAATGTCAAATATCTGATAGAAGAAAAAAATATTTGAAATGATGCCATCCTTAGTTATATATTGTCTATTTTATGCTAATAAATCAAGATAAAACTTGAGGTGCCTTAAAAAGTTTTCTTATTTATTTGATAAATAGATGTTATTTAATCAACTATAATTGACTATTTCCTTCTTAGAAGTTTGTATCATGTTATATACTAGCTCATCCAACTCATAATTGGGTTTACTAATTTCCCCCCCTAGTTTCTATTGGATGAAGAAAAATCCTGCTGTTCGATCAAATAATAGAAATATCGTTGAAATGGTACAAAGGTTAAATAGAACAATTTATATAATAAAATTTTGCAAGGAATTTTTTTTGTTAGAACACGACAAGTTACTGGCGATTTTGAAAAAAACTTCAAAAACTTCGATTTTTTTTGAAAATTATAGGTTACACCTGATCTTATAATTTGATTGGTAGACGAAATGTGGTGTGATCAACTTTGTTCAATCAGAGATGGCATTTACAAATGCCCAATCAGAACTGGGGGGAGAAATTAGGGATCCCCTCATGATTACCCTTATCATTATGTCAAGCGAAAATCGGACCTTTCTGAATAGTTAATGAGCCCATTCTATTCTTTAATGACACATCAGTAGCATTTACCGATATAAGGGTTAGCTGCGCAGCGCATGACGCAGCACAGAACCAGTACGATCCGCTTCAGTGGATCACATGCAACATGTTCAGACTTTTTGCTCAAAAGCCTATGTAAACTATGATAGTTACAAAAAATAAAAAAAAATAGTAATTCAATTTTTGACGGCCTTACTGATTAAAAAAAAACATCCTGGCCAAAATCAGCACAAATAAATATACATAGTAAGTCATTATTTTGTTATTGTGGAGCCTAATTTTACGCATTGCTCTTATTAGGAT